TTATTAAATGTTACAAAGTCCAGAGTGGCGGTCTATGGCAGCTTTTGGTAAAATGTGAATATGAGAGAGGTTAACCAGCATTTTAACAGAGAGCGGTAAAAACCGTGTGACCTCCCTACACCCTTCACCTTTCCTTCTCACCTTGCCACCTATACAGATTTCCCCTCCACACCACCAGCAGTGGTAGAGCAAAAATATAGGTCAAAGTGTCAAACCATAAACAAACACTGCCACCAAACCAAACTGAACTATGAAAACAAAATAAGAAAAACCCAAACTATACCCAGAACACCAAGAACTACAAATGGCTCCTATAATTGCATTGAACCCATCACACAGGTGAGATACAGTTAGAGGTCTTGCTCAAGGGAACAYGTGGGCGTGGCAGGAAACTGAACTTGTGACTTTCTGGTCCTGAGACGACTGACCTGATATTGCACCAGATGACTTGTGTGTTTAAAGTCATAGAATTTCATCTCAGTCGAATCAAAATAAATTTTATTTCACAGATAAACTGGAATATGACTGAAAAACAATGAAGCTCCACTGAGCTACATGCAGCTATTTAAAATACTATTTTAACAAGAAGTGAAATATTTGCTCCTTCTACCTCGTCAAACACAAAAATGAAGTGTCTTTAGATCAGTGGTGGAGAAAGTACTCAAACACTGTACTTAAGTAAAAGTACAAATAAACAGACAAAATGTACTCAAGTACCACATCAACATTTTTACTTGAGGAAAAGTAAGTAAGTACTTGCTTTTAAAAGTACTTACATATTAAAAGTACTTGCTTAATGTATTCCCTAATGGTCTACAATATTATGAAGTGTGCCTGTGTATATCTTAAAAACATCAATGGTGTGCGATTTCAGTGAACAAAGCTGCAGTTTGTGTTGACCCTCTGTGACACTGTTCACACTTGGTGTGATTCTGTGCATCATCACAGATCGTGACAACAGAAGCACCACCATCGTCCTTTATCAAACCTGAACAAGTCCTTTTTTGAACCAGTTAACTTGAATAAATAAGGCTGAGTGGCACATTTCCTCTGTTGTGGGCATGCTGCTGCTGCTGCTGCTGCTGCTCCAGGTGATGCAGAATCGCTCCGCTTTTGTTTTTCTTTTTAAAAGGAGGGTCTAATGGTACTTTCCTGCTTTGCAGTGCTTCAATGGACCAATTAGAGAAATCCCCCCCTCTCTCGCCACTGATTACTTTCAAACTAAACAAACAAAAAAGGCAATGTGATATGACATGAATGCACTTTGTAATTCAACGTAATAACAGAAATGTAGTGGAGTAGAAAGTACAGATACTTAATGTAAAATGTAGTGGAGTAGAAAGTACAGATACTTA